ATCTCAGTTGGGCAACGGCTGGCTGGTGATTGCATGTTTTTTATTTGCTGCTTTCAAAAAATATTTTGGTGTCAAAACATTTTAAATATCAAAGAAGGATGATAATTTTTGCGTCCCTTGCAATAGTCGTGATACATTAACATGCGTGTACTGTGTTCCAGACAGTTTGTTTCAGGGTGTAGTTTTATGGCTAACAAATTGTAGTGATTTAATGTTACTTCGGTACCTTGGGGTAAGATGCCCCCTGTCCTGATGGGGAAAGACGCCCCCCTAAATCCGTAGGCTGTCCTTCAAGCAGCCCGTCAAATCATTTATTACATACTTGTGATGAGAGACAAAAGCCGATATGGGACTATTGAGAGCCCAGTACGGTCGGGTGCTCCCCATGCCGGTCTCTCGGCCCACGCAGCGACTTTTTGGGCGGCATCTGACTCTGAGAGCCCTCACGACGGCCTCTGTGGGCCCCTTTATTGGCTCCAGGGCCCCTCACGACATCCTTTGAGGGTTCCCACGTTGGCTCCACGGGCCGCGCTGGCATCTGAGGTCCCCACGATGGGCTCGAGGGCCCTCAAGCATCATGAAGACCTATAAGGGCCCCACAGTGGTCTCCGAACGCCACCACGGAGGCTTGTTTGGCCGCGCTGGACTATGATGGCCCTAACGATGACCTCTGAAGCCCCTTACGACTACTTTTGAGGGCCCTTACGATGACGTTTGGTGTCTACTGCAGGCTCGAAGAGACTACGGATTCGTTCAGGTGATTCACGTGCCCATTTATGTCACTTATAGTGCAGGGGGCATCTTCCCCAACGCCAGGGGGCGTCTTTCCCACCATGTGGGGTAAGATGCCCCCTTTCACTTCTTCAGGAAAATGCTTAATAGCAAAAAAAAGTTTTCATATTTCAGGCACGAAAGTGTGACATTTTTGGAGAAAAATGATGTCTGCTTCCGTTGAAACTCCAAGTTTTTGCTTTCGGATCGTCATTTTCGAATAATATATGACATAGTAAAACCCTGGGCATCTTTCCCCACTCTCCCCTATTGATATTTCGATTACAGATCTTCGTCGGAATTGTTAACAAAAGACAGAATAAGAATACATTTCTTGCCTGCTCCTTTCTTTATCTCCTATTTCACTATTCGTTATCACGAGCAATTAAATCTAAAGTACATCCATTTTACAAATCATGATTACTTTTAGTCGACATACGAATACACGTAACTGAAATTTGTTAAGCCTTCCCTCCCTCCCTTGCCCCCTCTCTCTCTCTCTCCCTCTCCCTCTCTCTTCCAAACTTCCCAGAATATCCCCCATTCTTAGACCGTTTCGATGTGCCCAACGGTCACCTAACAAAATTAGCTGTCCAAAGTCGCCTGGGGGACTGAGAATCAGCATCGTACTGTGCTCTGAAAGACAGCAAATCAGCGTTATATCGGACCAATGTGAGCCAGAAGCCCCTGTCAGCGTTCTATTGCGTCACGGGACCAATGTCAGAGAGTGTACTCGGGTCATGCCCGTGGGGCATGACCAGTCATCCGGTCACGTGTCTTACACCAGACTATAAAAAAACAATGCTAAACGTAATTTGTTCCTATGAGAAAGAAGGCGGCAGGGTTCCTGGGTTCCTCCTAAGCACCTCTCAGACAGCTGTCAGGCTGCTTGGCTGTCACTTCTTACAGGCAACAACGCTCCACATTCCACCATCAAGTGTCGCATCGCATGTCTCCGCGCAATGAAACTTTCCCAATAGCAGTTTGATCCGGATAATTGGAAAGAGGCATTCTCGTGGGTCTGGATATGACTCGAGTCATCCACGGATAATGTCGTGTCGGTCTTCATTGTGGTAATCCCAAGTGGCAGGCCTGCGGCTAGCGACCTCCGCCCTGTCCCCTTTCAAGATGAGAAAGTTGCCGTGATGGTGGTGATTCTATAAAAAGTAGAAGTGTCCGTCCATCCATAGTGCTTCTTGTTGTGACTCAATGGACGTCAAATTTGGGGTCTTCCGACTGGGTGTTTTGGTTGGAAATACTCTTATTTTCTATTTTCTCATGCTCGCTTTCTCTACATTCTCCTGACGAAAATGTGGCAAGTAGCAACTAGCAAAAGTTTACACGAAAGCGAGATAACTTCTCTCTCTCTCTCCCTCTCTCTCTCTCTCTCTCTCTCTCTCTCTCTCTCTCTCTCTCTCTCTCTCTCTTTCTCACTCTCCCCATTTTTCAGCCACCTTTCCTCACCTCACATAATGGCTGACCCTTGCCCTCCCCCGATGTAGCACGGGTTACACCGTCCGCCATGACCCAATCCTATTGTCAGCAGCACAGAGAACATTAGTCTCAGCTAGCTACTGTGCTGGACAGACGCGATATCGTATCGGAACGAGGCGCACAGCCAATTGGATTCGCTGGACGAAAACAGTCCCGGTACAGAATGCTTTGGACATGTTGAATGCGGTGCTGTGCGGCTGTATCGTGAGGGAGATTGGGTGATTGGTTAGAAAGATAAACAAAGTATTTTCTCGTAACTTTCTAATGTTCTGTACCGTGCAGTTATAAACAGTCTTCTCTTAACATCTACAGTCAGATATTTATATTTTATGTGTTGAGTTAATTGCACTAAAACAGTTCGTAGGTCTTTCTTAAAATGGGTAATAAATTCTAGATGATCCATTCACATCTTTATTTGCTTTTAATCAGAGAAAACAGCAATAACGAATGCTTCTCAACACTTAAAAAAAACACACACACATGGGGCCCAGCACAGAACAATTTCCACGCCGTTCTTTCTCCTTCCCTTCCTTCCCTCCGCGCTACTTTCAGCCCAGACGCCTCAGCTAGCCGGACCACAACACATTCATACCAATCCGGCACCACAGGGGTCCGTGCTCCACAACTGTCCCCCCGCGCCACAAATATCTCGGCTCTGTGGTGACGCACCGGCGACAAACAACCGCCGACGCCACGGGATAGTGCTCGTGACGTCAGAGTGACGTCACAATCAACCTCCGATTGCCGGTGGGCACACGATAATTATCTGGGGCTATTTATGGGAAGGACAAACTGGGCACAAAACGAGCGGCGGAAACGGCGAGCGATAGGGTGGACACTGGATGCATTGAGAGCTCTGAATGTGGGATATTGTTGCAGATTTTTGTATTGTGCTATTTGTAGTGCAACACACTATATACGTTGCTGTGTGCTTAAAGAGCGTAGCACACTGACGCGTTACGTTAAATAAAATTCAGTGCCCTGTTCTTTATCAATAGAGATAAAGATAGAGATAGAGATAGATCCACTCTAGTCTCTCTGAAGTCATCAGTTCTATTGTCTGCAAATTATGTTCAGTATGTGTATGATCATCTAAGATTTATTGAAGTCTGGATGAGTACAGACATCATGTCACCGCCCGGTTAATTTTCTTAATCTTACGGGGGTCATCAACATCAATTCTGCAATTCCTTGACCCCTTCTTGCCAGCCATCGCCCTCATCCTTCGAGTCATCGCCCCCCCCCCCCCCCCATCCTACAATCCCGGACAAATCATCACAGTTCCGTATTCTTCGCGCCCCTACCTCGTAACTTGATGGCAGATAGAGCCACCATTCCTGGACACCTTTACTTCGAGTCAGCTCACGTAACAGTTGAGCTTATACGTCCGCTAGAATCGCCGCTAAAATGCCTCGCCAACTCGGAAATGGGGTGAGGTTGCTGCGCTTGCAAAACGTATAGCGGCGAGGTCAGCGAGATAGAAGGAGGGTGTGGGATTCCCCAGATAAAGTTACCAGAACCTTAGGGGTGTAAGATGGATGTAAAACGTGAGAGCTGTAAGAGCCGGAGGAAGTGAAAAAGTGTGTTCGCTGCGCAAATAGAACGATGGTTTCTTTTTGTAGGTGTTTATTGTCTTTTTACATATAACTATTTGTTTAGTACAGAGCCAGGTTGTTTTCAAATGTGCCGTTGCCTATAAATCAGATGTTGTTTTAGATAAAGCGCCGTGGTGTGCCGCAAATTTAGCAGAATATAGGCTGAGCAAAGAGCTTTGAGATCCGAATTACGTTGATACTTGTAAGGTTTAGTTATTCACCAGCCGAGTTTATGAAAAATGGTAACGTGGATGCATTAGGAATATGTGGCGTGCAAACGAAATAATTGTGCCTGATAAATCAGGAATTACATTTTAACAACATAATCAGGTAAACCTACTTCAAAAGCCGAAATGGCTCACATTTTATCTTTTCACCATCTTCCGCTAAATCAGATCGTCTATGTGAATTCTAGATAAACATTTTCAGAGCTTGGTTGGCGTCGAAGCGCTTCTTTTAAGTGCTTCAACATGGATGGCATGTTCCGGAGATGTCAATACGTCTACGACATTCCAGACGCTGAATTATTCATAGCAGCACTGATTTCATTTATGTCACGCCAAAAACGTCCCTCATTGACATGCTCCGACGCTTCAAGCTAAATCAACAGCAAATCCAATCGCGGGCCGCCGTTTATTCTGGCGCATTAAACCACAAATAGACATGTATGAGCTCTCTAGCAAATCCCATAGCGAATTAGGGTGACGCAACACTGCACGATGCCAGGCACGTCACCGAGACTTCATTGAGAATGAAACAAGGGCTGAATAGAGCTGGGTGGGCGCTGGTAAGGTCAGTTTCGGCTCCGAAACTCTACGTCTTTTCTATAGTTTGTTCTCGATCCAGTCTAAACTTAGTTCGGATAATGGCATTTTGGGTGGTCGACTTAGTTGAGATCTATTGTTACCTTGGGAGCGATTTCAAAAGTTCTCCTTACATACCGACTTCGGCGAACAATGGCAAAGGCCGATGCGTTTTTGGGTGTTAGCGTTCCTGTACTGCCTTTCACACATGGTCTTAAAACGCTACAGCATTTAGTGAATGCCCTCCAAAAACATCCTAAAAGACTGCGGTCTCAACGTGCTGAATACCAAATCTCTCCAATGGAGAAGTGTCATCGCAGTGTTTATTTCGTTTCAGACTATCGGAAACAGGAGATTTCTCACACTCTCTCCAACGAGGACGTCAGAAGGACGAGAGGACTGGTGTGAGGAACGGAGAGGACACTGGAGGAGGGGAATATGAGGTCTCTTCTCCCTGAGCTACAGCTACATCCTCCCCCAGATGAAGACAAAAACGAAACGACAACGACACAGCCGGAGGAGCAAAACTGGACCCCGGACGAGTCGAGGTGAGAATACTCAGCTTAAAAACAAACACACAAACAAATGACGATTAAAGCCAAACGTAAATGCAAATAAATCATAGCTAGCGGCTGACAATAAGATGCTACCTCGTAGTACTTTGTAAGTAACAAAACACCATAAAGGTTCCAAGCGGAGCATTCAAAGGACAAAGAAGCAAGCCATAAAAACGTTTATCGGAAACTTCTAAAAATAACCATGCATCAATTGATGTGAGCTGAAAATACACATACTCGCACAAATGCCTATTTGGCCCCGCGATCATTTTGTATGAGCAATGACGTAAGAAAACCAGCAAATACGAAGCGATCCCTGCACTGAGCACAATGGCAGCAATATGGCGACATCTCTGACGGCCGTAACAAACGACTTGGACTTTATATAGCCTCGCGAAACGGTACAGATCTATAGCGCCGTATTGGCCGGGCGAGGTTCGAAAATCTCATGGGTATACGGCTCGTGACTGAGACGTATGTAGAAACTGCGCGAGGCCGCAGGTGGATACAATGGGTCACTATGGAGGCGATGAATTGGCCGGATTGGGGTTATTGAATTTTGAACGGGTCGTTGTCACAGACGGCGCCAGTTTTAAAACGGAATTGAATGGAGGTCTTGATATAAATTGTCATACTGAAAAATAGTATATCAAATGTGCTGTACTAACTTTGCTTATTATCCGATGCCTGCCAGTTACAATAGTTACCTTTTTTAGAAGTAGACCGTAGTCTTTATCACAAAACACTTCTTATCCACATTCTACACTCACATGCAGTCAAATAATTCATACTTTCGCTCCATGTCTACTTTGAGCATGGATTCTGCACTTCATAAACCATTTAAAAACATTTCAACACTAAAAGGCTTTCAGTGAAAGCATGCGTGCCCACGCCAGTTTCTAGGCTCTAGCTCATCCATTCCGCCCGCACCTGCCGCCGTATCATGCAATTTCACCGTTTCATTTATTTCAACCCATCCCGCATCATTGCAGACCCTGCAAGCGTCAACGTCTCTCCGTCGAGAGCCGAGACGTCACCGCATCGGACTCGTCATGCACCAGTGATGACGTCACAGCTCGTACAGGAGTGACGTCACCTCGCCGTGGTCCAGGGCGGCGGAAGAAGCCTGCACTCTCCGCTCGCGACCGGAACTTGCGACGACTGGAGAGCAACGAACGAGAGCGGCAGAGGATGCACGGTCTAAACGACGCCCTGGAGGTAGGTTTCAGCACTGTGGGCTTTAGAATCCAGCGCTGAAATGGCAGCGCCAGCGACGTTTTAGTTAGATAAGAAAGGAACGCAGAGTCGCGAACAAAACAGTGTGTGGGTGTGTGGTGCTTTAGCCGGGTAATCATTCTTGTGTAGCGAAATGTCGCCAGCAGCTTCAGGAAACAAAAGGTAGGGCGGAGTCAAAAGATTATCTCAGAGCGGCTGAATAAGAGACAATGCAAGTGCTACAAAGGGGCGGGAAGCTATAAAACTGTAAGCTTTTCATGGAAATGATTGTGAATACGTCATAGACGCTTTTTTGTAGGTAATTTATTGAAAATTGACGATGCACCATGATACCCATACTGGTCCAAGTGCTGTTAGGCTCAGCTTTACGGGCAATTGTTTATCCCCAATTCCCTGTGTTTCAAGTTTTCATTCCCGTGCCTTGTTCCATGTTCCTTTTCACTTGTCTTGTTTTTGTACACCATTATCAATTACGTTACATACTTACATGTCATAGTATCATTCAGCCTTTACCTTTGTGCCAAGCAACATAAGCAAGTGCATTGCGTACGCTCTAACACAAAACTTATATTCATACTCATTACTTTAATTACTGTCCCCTAGAAAAGAAATCATGGAATGCAATGTAATTTGATAGTTATCTTGAGCTGCCTGAAGCTTCCTACAGGTTTCCTTATAGGGTTTAAAAAAACACCCAAAATAAGCACATGGCCGGTATTTCGAGAAGTTTTCAGCCAGAGACACGCATTCATGTATTTCCAGCCCGTCATCCATTCACGGTAAATGACTGCCCGCTGTCATTTCAGTGACAGCTGTCAACCTGTGAGAACCAACCATTGAAAAATAATCATCGCAAATGTTTCTACGACTGGCCACTTATCTCAACGCTCGTGCGATATTTTATCAGGTCACCACATGCTCGGCACAGATAATCAATCATTTTCGCAACCAATTTCTGACAGTGGAGATTGCCTCAAAATGAATGAAATTCCACATCTGAGAAACCACCTTACTCTGAACTGGGTGGAAGTTCGCAGTAGCTTGTGAAACGCCTTGAGATTCTGAACAGGATGTCTCGACTCTTGGAGGAGTCAATGTGTTTTATATTAGATTGGTTTGAGCGAGTGCTCTTCTATTCGCGTTCGGAAGAGGCGAATATCCGTACGTGGAGGTTTATTTCCATATCGTGTAGAAACGAAGATGCGAAGCGGCTTAAGAGCAGGCATGGATGATTTGAGTTTTCTCTCACATTAATGTATAGCATGATGTTCAAAGATGAGACCACCAGCTCATGGTTTGAAGCCGGCTAACGTGCCTTAAATAACTATACCAATATCTATACACCTCGGGCCATAGATGTTCAATCGGGACCCTCTAAAGCGATTTACCTTGAATACCTGACCTGAAGGCTAACGTCATACCCACTCATGTTTAAAAATGACTTCCATCGGGTAGCTGTCCAAATGTTACCACATTGATTTTGCATAATGTGGGAAAACATAATTGCAAGTCACGTTTAACTAATACGCCGAGAACACGTAAAGTGCCTCCGTAGCCAAATCATTTGCACGTGTTTTGAGCACTTGAAATGTACGGCTCGGATAAATTTGTGTGGAAAGTTGTGAGAGAAAATACGCTCTCACAATACTCGTATAAATGGACATGGATTAATGACCGCAGCACTTTAACTCCATTCTTCCTTAGGTTTGCCAGACTATAGGAATATTGCTTTGACATTTAGTGGGTACTTACAGTCATGTACTGAATATCTTGGAAATACCCAGGGAGCTTCAAGTGATAGAGAATGCTGACTAGAAATTCAAACAAATCCAGTTAAATTCAACCGCATGACCTTTTTGTACTAATGATCTCTTCCTAAATATGTGAATAAAGTGATATTTTCAGCGACCAAATGTGAAAGGATGGGGGAAGAATCCGGAAAGAAACGCTTTGTGGTTGTCTGGATAAGCAATATAATAACTTTCAAACATTTTACCTGCACGCGATAGCACCCGCTTAATCAACGACAAAAAAAAAACGCAAATTCAAAAACGAAACTACTTCCCCATGCTCTGTTTAAATATTTTCTGGGATGACCCACACGAGGCTGCAAATAGCTTTGTCAGGTCTTGCAGGCAGAATCGCACATCCTAAACTTAGAGCCTCGAGAATTCGGAGCCTCTGTAACTCGGCTAAGTTGTGTGTTTAGAAGGTATCCAGGGAATTGCAGAGCTTTGCAACTGCAGAGAAAGGACCTTACAAAGAGATAAGTGAGGATAAGAGAGCAGCACTGTTTGTCAAGTGTTTTTGTCTCTCAGTGTTGTTGTCCAAAATGTCGATGCGGAAATTCCAATTGTGGTTTAGCGCTGTGATCAGTTTGTAGGTATCGTGCAAAGGGAGCGTTATACATATACTAGCATTGTATGTTTTTTTTTTTTAGTATGATCGAACATAAAGAATATAAAATTGTCCGCCGTCATCAAGCTTAACTCTTAAACGCAAATAGAGCAAATAAAGATTCCATCCCGGGGCATAACCAAATGACGATTGCGTCATCCCAGTTACTTCTAGATGAAACAGAACACAGCATTGTTTTCCAAACTATTCTGCCGTCGTTGACCTTTTAAGCTGACTCTGCCGGATATGCCATTAACCCACGACGGTCGTCAAACTTTCCGATGACATTTGGCTATGCAGTCTCTATTTTGAGGAGGTTGAACGTGGACTGGTAACAGGTTCAGGCTGGACACTTGCTCTCGGCCACTGGCGCATTACGTCGTTCATTAAAATAAATCCAAACTCGATCCTTGGTTACAAGCTTCCCAAAGAAGTAGAAATTAAATGGCATAGCATACCAATAGTAAATAATCAAATTTAAGATTTAGTTAAAGGGAATGCAACAAAACTTTCAGCACAAGTCTCAGAATCGTATGATATTGTTCCGTTTCAAAGCTAAATATAAGCACAGTAGACTTAACTCATATCAGCCTGCAACAAAAGCAGAAATTAGTATACTTAAACCAATGAAATGAAAATGTGTCTTAACCTCTTCCGGAACGCTAAATTTTAATCTAAATTAACGCCGTAATACCGTGAACTGATAACACCATTGTGAGTGTCAGGCAAGTAGCTCTGCTTAGCAGGTAATTGAGCTCATGAACAGCCTTTACATGAAATGAAGCAAAATAAATGTTAAAACACCATCAACTCACCCGCACCCATCCTTCCTAAATCATCAACGACTCCTTGTGCAAAATAACCTATAACTCAGTCACATTCTCGCTGAAAGTCATACATCAACCCCCACTTTACGAACACCTTACAAAGAGCATCACGTGTTTGGGCGGCTCTCCTCTCTGAAATTGGGTCTGTCACACATTACTCAGTTTTCCGTCTCCTCCGAGCGGCTGATATTTGTCAGTGTCTCGTGCCAAGAACGCATTAGTTTTACTACGAGCTGAAAATGAAGATGTGTGAGACCACGCGCCATTTCGGCGCACTATACTGTCAATTTTGCTCTGCTTTTCATCAGCCGCTGGAAAACGAGTAATGGAACTCGGCCAGGGTACAAGGGATGAATGGGTCGAGTCGAAATGTTACTGGGCTGGCTTAGCAACAGGCAGAATGTCGGTGAAAGATAGCGACGGGTCGCTACATGAATGATTTTAAACTAGTAATAGGTACATATTGATTGCATTTACAAATCGTAACAGGTGAGTAGTGACATGCTGCTATTTCATACAAGGCAGTAAAACATGAATTATCTACGCTCTTCCCAAATGCCGATATTCAGCAAAGCACAGACAAAATGGGACATAACGTTCGTATAAACTGTACCGTCTTAAATTCTGCAAAAACTACGATAAGGAGAGACTACATAAACTCCGCAGTAGGGTGTTCCATTACACTATGGTAAAATAATGTTGGTTCAAAACTCAGCCATATCGACTTTGCCCCAACTCTACCCGTAAAACTGAATCGATTGATACGCTTGAAACCCAAATTTAAGTATATTTAGGGGTCGCACACTTTTGTCACCAAAACTCGTTACACAGAGAAGGGGGCACATCCTTCCTTGGTGCGCTTTGGCAGCGCCTTCCGGTTGAGTTCCACGACTCGCAGGCCATCGTTGTTAGGGCCCTGCCGCCCTCAATAGACCGTTGCAGAGCCCTCAGATGCCAGCATAGCCCCCGCAGCCTGGTTGTGTTGGGGCCCTCAGAGGCCGTCGCTGGGCCGCCTGAAGCCAAATGGGCCCTCAGACTTGAGTTGGGTCTAGGGCCGTCACGAGGGCCCTCAGAGACCGTCGTAGAGACCCTCAGGGGCCAGTGGGGCCCCTGGAGTCCTGTGGGACCCTCAGCGGTCGTCATGAGGGCCCTTAATGGTCGTTATAGGGCCCCAGGGGACAGAGTTCGTCGTGAGAGCCCACAGAGATCATCGTAAGGGCCCTCAGAGGCCGTCATAGGGGCCCTCAGAGGCCAGCGTGGCCCCTGGAGTCTCTGTGGGACCCTCAGCGGTCGTCACGAGGGCCCTTAGTGGCCGTTGTAGGGCCCCAGGGGACAAAGCCCTCAGGTGGGAGCCCTCAGAGATCGTCATAAAAGGGCCCTCTGAGGCCGTCGTGGGGGCCCTCAGATGCCGTGTGGAGCACCAAACGCGGCTCGGGACACTTCTAGCCGGTGTGGAGGCCCCGACTAGCATGGGGCGCTCCTGACCATAAATAGACACCCCCGATGATTCCACATCAGTGTTCGTTTCCCGATCACTGGTTTTCAGGAGAAAATGTATTGGATGGTGCGACGGGCCCCTTGTATGGATTTTGGGGGTGCAAAAAAGATATGTTTGCACCCCCATGTTTTTCGATGGGGGTGCAGCTGCACCCCCTGCACCCCCTATTCCGCCGCCACTGCCTGGCTTTCTCAACCAAATCAGTTCGCAGGAAGACTACTCATGTTACGGCCAGAAACAAAATCAGAGATGAAAAGTCG